TGTCCCTCAGCTCTTCAGCTCAAGGGTAGTGCTTTACCACTTGAACCATAACGCCACTTCCAGTTTTCTGGTGGTTAATTGGAGCTAAAGGTCTCATGGCCTTTCCTGCCCAGGCTGACTTTGAACCACGGTCCTCAGATCTCAGCTTCCTGAATAGCTAGGATTACACATGTGAGCCACTGGCACCCAGCCACTGGCTATATTCTTATTACTGTTTCATTATTTCTATTACTGGAATGAAATCCAAGGTCTTATGTATACTACATGATTGGGAAGGGGGCATTACTAGCTACAGAATTAAGGGCCTTAGGTTTGCTAGGTTTGTTTGCTTTGTCATTTTAGCCATACCATCAATCTTATGATTCTATTTTCTTTCTTTCTTTCTTTCTTTCTTTCTTTCTTTCTTTCTTTCTTTCTTTCTTTCTTTCTTTCTTTCTTTCTTTCTTTTTTTTGCTGGTCCTGGGCTTGAATTCAGGGCCTTGGTGCTTTTTTGCTCATTTAGTGCCTTAACACTTGAGCTACCACTCCACTTCTGCCTTTTTGGTGGTTAATTGGAGATTAGAGTCTCAGACTTTACGGCCTAGGCTGACTTCAAACTGTGATCCTCAGATGTCAGCCTCCTGAGTGGTTAGGATTATAGGTATGAGCCACCAGCACCTGGCTCGTGGTAAAATAACTCAAAAATAATAAAATTAAAGAACTCAAAATTCCATGAAGTCACCAAATGAAACGCTTGTATTTCCTATAAAATCACTTTTAAAAAATATGCCAGGCACTGGTGGCTCACGCCTGTAATCCTACCTACTCAGGAGGCTGAGATCTGAGGATTGCGGTTCAAAGCCAGCCCTGGCAGGAAACTCCATGAGACTCTTATCTCCAATAAACCACTAGAAAACTAGAAGTAGCACTGTAGCTTGAGCTGCAGAGCGCTCGCCTTCAGCTGAAGAGCGCATGGACAGCGCCCAAGCCCAGAGTTCAAGCCCTACAACCGAGAAGAAAGAAAAAAAAAGAACTTTAGAAGCTGGCTGCAGGTGGCTCATGTCTATAATCTCAGCTAGTCAGGAGGCTGAGATCTGAGGATTGTGGTTCGAAACCAGCCCGGCAGGAAAAGGCCGTGAGACCCTTTTTTTTTTTTTT